ACTCAGTATAATAACACAGGTAAACTAGACAAATTCATTTTCTTTCCTGGAAAAGAATACCAAACCAATATTTAGGATACCCCAAGATTTAGCACATAACAGTCTAGAAGCCACCCAAGAAAAAGGTTAGTTGTTTAAGGACTTTGTTCTTCAAAAGTAACCATTCACCAGCTGAAGACTTTATATGCAGATACTACACACTGGAAACTTTAACTTGAATTTTTTTCAACCCCTTTTGACTTGGAAGCTCCCTCCTTTGCCTTAGACGATTCCTTTGATTTCCCTCCATTCTTGTGTGTTTTTCCACTGGAATCCGTCTTCTTGCCTTTGCTCTTTGTGGCCTTTTGTGGGGTTTCTGTGGTTGAAGCACAGTTGTTGAAATCTTCTGAAAGGGCATCAGTGGGATCCTGGCCACTTGCAGGCTTTGTTGATTCCTTGGGTTTCTTTGCAGATGGCTTCCCTGATTTGCCCTGCTCATCGTTATCTAGGAGATGTCTGTATTCAGGTGGAATGGTGTCCTCTCTCTCTCCTAGCTTGTCTTGATGCTCAGCCTTTGGTCTCTCCTCTACTTTGTCCTCCATTGGCTTGCTCTCATCCGGGTCAGGCTGTCTTTGTCCTAGGCTGTCAGAGAGCTGATCCAGAGCATCATCAAGCGCTTTGTTGTCACTTTGCGGAGCCTTTGGGGGAGGGTGCACAGATTGGGTAGTTGAAGCTGCAGTTTCCAAAACTACGTCAGAAATCACAGCAGCAAGTTTGGCATCATCAAATTTCTTTTCCAGATTGGACGTGTTTGGGGGACCAGAGAAGTCCTCACACAGAGCATCCAGTAGGAGGTCATCACTCATAGGTTGTAACTCTTGCTTGGACTCTTTTGGCAGGAGCGGTTTTCCATCTTTATCCTTGGTCTCTTCAACTCTATAATCGGGAGGAATTGTTTCTTCTTTTTCACCAAGCTTTTCCTGGTCCTCTGCTTTGGCTTTCTCCTTGACTTTATCCACCACAGGTTTTCCATCTTCAGAGTCAGCTTCCCTTTTCCCCAGGCTGCCAGCCAAGAGGTCCACAGCATCATCTGTCACCATACCCTTTGAGGTAGCTGGTTTAGGTGGTGCTAACTTGGGTGGTTCTGATGTGGGAGGTGCTGACTTGGGAGGTACAGACTTAGGTGGTGCTGACTGAATACTACACATGGAGGTCTTAGACACAGTCTCTCCCCCAGGGCTTGGGGCTGGGGTCTTGGATCCAAGATTTGACGTGTTTTGGGGACCAGCGAAGTCCTTAGACAGAGCGTCCAGTAGGAGGTCATCACTCATGGGTGCCAGCTCTTGCTTGGGCTCTTTAGGCAGGAGTGGTTTTCCATTTTTATCCTTGGTCTCTTCAAGTCTGTAATTGGGAGGAATTGTTTCTTCTTTTTCACCAAGCTTTTCACGGTCTTCTTCTTTGGCTTTCTCCTTGACTTTATCCACTATAGGTTTTCCATCTTCAGGATCAGCTTCCCTTTTCCCCAGGCTGCCAGCCAAGCGGTCCACAGCATCATCTGGTATAACACCCTTCGAAGTGGCTGACGTGGGTGGTGCTGATGTGGGTGGTGCAGACTGAATATTACACAGTGAGGCCTGAGATACAGTGTCTCCCACGGGGCTTGGGGCTGGAGCCTCAGATCCTTTCACTTTTTCAGTTGGTTTAGATGGTTTCTCTTTACTTTTAGATTGGTCAAAGTCTTCTGAAAGTTCATCAAAGAGTTCTGATTCACTCAGGAGCTTTGGTTTTTCTCCAGGCTCAGGCAATGGTAGTTTTCCATCCTTGTCTGGTTTTAATCTGAACTCAGGTGGGATCGTTTCATCATCTTCACCACACTTCTTTAGCTTCTCTTCTCTGGCTTTTGCCTCACTGACTTCCTTCAGAGAACTCAGGTCCAGCTCAGGCTCAGGCTTCCGAGTTCCCAGTGAGGCGGAAAGGGTATCAATAACTTCCTCACTCATTGTATTCACAGACGCTGCAGAAGGCTGTGTAGCTCCATCTTTTTTATTCAAAAGTTGCCTATATTTTGGAGGAATTGTAACTTCTCTTTTACCCAACTCTTCTATGTGGGTGGAACCCATTGGATCAGAAACTTCTGGTCCAGTATATTTTGTATCATCCTCTTTGCTTTCTTCAGGTTTCCCCAAAGTGTCTACTAAGTCATCCAAGGCAGCATCAATGTCTGACTTGTCCTTTGGTTTGTCAGATGTCATGGTTACACCAGCAACCAGACTCTGTGCACTGTCACCTGTGTTCTTTGATTTAGTCTTTGATTCTTTTGACTTTTCACTATGAACATGCTTGTCTCCTGTATCTGATGCAGGTTTGGGCAAGCTTCTTGGCTCTTTGTGTTCCTTTGGCTTCTCTTCTTGAAGTTTCTTCTCATGAACCACGGATGGCTTAGTTGATTGTGACTTCTTTTCAGGTTCTGTTTTTACGTCCTTGGCTTCTGTGGGATTCATATTAGAAGGTTTGCTGGTTGCAACAGAGGAGGCTGACATTCTGCGTCCGTCCGACAGGGGCCCTGGGGCTCCGCTGGACGACCGCACGCAGGGCTGGTCTCAGGATGTTTGCATTCCTGCTTGGTTTTGGCCCCCGCGGTTTCACTTCTGAGCCGGGCCTGGCCGCAGAGGGTAATCCCTGCTTGTGGTTTTATGTCCCAAACTTTGTTGTCCTATTAGGCCCCTGGAATGTCCCCACAGCAGTGGAGGCAAGGATCCCCAAATTGGGGACCTGTCCTCAGGGAAATTTCAATCCCGTCTTCCCACCTGCATCTCCACCTACTGATGTTTGTAAACCAGTCTGTACCCTGCCACTTTGGTGAGTTGGCAATTGTTGAGAGCTGGTGAGTCGATTCCAATTCACAGTTACCCTGTCCTGTGCTATCTTCATCATTTCAACTGTACTTGAGCCCATTGTTAAAGTTACTGGTCGATCCATTTTGTTGAGGGTCTTCTTTTTCACCACGTCTTCTTTCCAAATGATGTCTCTTTCCGTGTCACATTAAAAGTACCTCTTCTAACAGCATGCCTGACATATATGTGATAAAGTTCCACCATTCTTATCTCTAAGAAACACCTTGGTTGCACTTCCTCCAAGAGAGATTTGTTTGTTCTTTTGGCAGTCCATAAGATACTCATTGTTCTTTTTCATTACCACAGTTCATGGATTCACTTTCCTTCTCTTATTTATTGTCCAACTTTCTGATGCATAGGAAGTAATTGAAAAGACCGATATATTTTTAATGTTTTTAAACTGAAATTTTTGCTCCTTAATACCTTAGAGAGGTCCTTGACAACAGATTTTCCAAATACAACATGTCTTTTCATTTCTTTTTTTAAATTACAAAATTTAATGACTTTTCATAGCAACAATTATGAATCAGTTTTTCTTATTAGGTTGAGGCCACTGGTAAGGTTATACATTTCCTTAGATACCTTATTTCATTGCCATCGACTCATAGTGGGTTCTCCAGTGGGTTTCCGAAGTTGTAAATTGCACAAGTAGTGACTGCTCGTCTTTCTCCCGCGGAACTGCTGGTGGATTCAAAATGCCAGAGCACACTGCCACCAGAGCTCACTCAGGTTGTCAGAAGGGGCTAGTGCTTGGGAAAAGACATCATTCTGGGAAAGGGAGAGAGCTAGCAAAAGAGAGGAAGACCCTCAGTGGAACAGAATGACAGTGACTACAACAACAGGCTTGAGTATGGTGGAGATCATGATGATGGCACACGATAGGGCAAGGTTCCCATCTGTTGTTCACAGGGTCACAATAAAGGCATAGTCAACTTGACACCACCTGACTTTTTCACTAGCAAGATCAAACACTTTGGTGATCTTGACCTTTTCCTTTTTGGCTTCTGGAGGCTTTATCAGATCCTCAAGTTTCACCAACTTACTTGAAACACCTTGGTGATCTTGACCTTTTTCTTTTTGGCTTCTGGAGGCTTTATCAGATCCTCAGGTTTCACCAACTTACTTGAACTTGTCTCTGAAGCTTCCTCTCTTCTTTAAACTCATGTACTTGCAGACACTTTTGATTTTGGTCCCACATCATTGAGAAAGCTGGCCCAGAGTTCATCCTCCTCCTTTTTTCTTTCATCTTTTGACTCACACCCTTTTCCTGCTCAACAGACCCATCTTCTTCCTCACTGCTGGTCCCTCCAGAATCTGCTCCAGCAACCACATCTTTCTCTCTATTTAATGGTCTACTCATGTCTTGACTGCTAGTATCAAAGGTATTGATTTTGATTCCAAACAAGCTGAAATAATTGACAACTTCAGTTTTTCTCCATTTGTCATGATGTTGCATATTGACTCAGTGGTGAAGATTCTTTTCTTCTTGATGTTGACAGGTAATCCATATTGAAGGCTGTAGTCTTTATTCTTCTGCTGCAAGCATATCAAGTTCTCTCCACTTTTAATAAGCAAGGTTTTGTCATCTGCATAATGACAATTGTTGAATCTTCCTCTGTCCCAATGCCATGTTCTTCTTCATAAAGTCTAGCCTCTTGAACGATTTGTTCAGCATACAGGTTGAATAGGTTTGGAGAAAAGGATACAATCCTGTTGTACATGTGTCTTGATTTTAAAACATACAGTGTTCTCGTACTCTGGATAGTAGTCCACTTCTTGGTCTAGGTATAGGTTTCACAAACTCTAGGGTAAACTAGATGAGTACATAATACTATATTTTGAGAGTTTAATAAAAATAAACTGGTTTGTTTTTATTTTTTCAATAAACGGTAAGGGTTTTTCCTTCTTGTTGTATACTATCAAGTAGGATCTGACTGGCACAGGAGGAGATTGCCCCTCCTTCTCCAGGGGAGGATCTGATGGATTTGAACTTCGTGCCTTTGGGATTGCAGTACAGCTTCTTGCCACTAGCCACCAGAACTCCTAAGAGTGGGAATTTTTATCCATAATTTTGGTGGACCTTCTGTTTTATTGTTTAAGCTTTCCAAGGGTAGATTGCAGAGCTCCCACGAGGCTCATGAGTGACTTTTTCCACCCTTTCCTTTCTTTTATTTGAGATAATTTCAAACTATAAGAAATGTAAAAAAATAAAAATAAAAATTCCAAACCCCCCCAAAATTTCTACCACTAAGCTCTGATGGCCCAGTGACAAGAAGCTGAACTGCAATCCCAAAGGCTTGCATTTTGAGTCCACCAGCTGCTCCGTGGGAGAAGGATGGGCACTCTCCTTCCATGCTGTTTACTACCTCTGAAAACCTGCTGTTGGGTCAGCTATGGGTTGGTTCCCACTCAATGGTATATAACAATACAAGTTAATTCTGACTTGTAGTGACTGTACAGGACAAAGTAGAACTGCCCCCAGGATTTCTGAGGCTAAGAGTCTTAAGGAGGGAGTCTGCCTCATCTTCCTGTGGAGTAGGTGGTGTGCTTCAAAGGCTGATATTTGGTTAGTAGTCAAGTGCTGTAATCATTGTGCCACTCGGGCTTCTGCACAAATAAAAGGGGTACCATTGACCACCTTTATGCTCAGATTCACCTGTCTAGCACTTGTTTGCTTAAACCATGTGACTTCCATAATTTAGCCCTTTATGTTCTTCTCCCTTAATGCCCCTCTTTGCACATGTTCCCCTCTCCCCGAACCATTTGAAGATAAGTTAAATACATATTACAGCTATTACTTCTAAATCATTCCATTTATAAGTGCAGTTGTCACCTTCAAAGATATACATTGATACCTGGATCTCATCTACCATCTGCATTTCAGTTTTGTCCACTGACCTCAGAATGCCCATCCTCCACCCACTGTGGTATTTAGATACAGGATTAGGAATTATGTTTATTTATCATGTTAGCCTTTTTAATCTGGATTTCCCCCTACAACCTTTCTTTGTCTTTTATGACATTGATATTTTTCAAGAATATAGTCTGTGTTCCCTTTTTTAAAAAAAATAGACATTTCCTTATTCTGTGCTCTCTGATACTTTGATTAGAGTCCAATTGTGCATTCTTAGCTGGCATTCTGGGTAGGTGTTAGAGTATCTTTTCTCACAATGCCACATTTGTCATTTATTAGTGATGTTAATTTTATTTACCTTATCATGTCATTGTTTGAATTCTCTAGTGTGCAATTAATGTTTGTTTTTTATTTCTTTAAAGTACTAAATTTCTGGGGAGATAACTTTAGACAATTCAGGTAGTTTTGTAAATATATTATTGTTCCTCATCAAAATTTCCATCACAATTCTGACTCTTATTCAATCCATCCTTTAATAAGATATTTGCAAAAATTCTTATTTTTTTTAAATCCAGGCTCACTTCACATTTACCAGTAGGTGCTTAGCACTTTGTTACAGCAAGAGCCCATAATAGCTCTTACTCCTAAGTGAAAAAAGGATTCCTCTCCTAAATGTTGTTTATTAATGATAAGGGCTCATGAATTCCTGTTTCCTCAGTTGTTCATGATTAATTATTGTTCTTATTTAAGTGCTTACCGTTTTTGTCCCAGATTTGGCCAGTGGAGACATCTTCATACTAAGTCCTAGGTCCTAGTGATATGTTGTTGTTGTTGCCACCATTATATGCTTTCAAGTTGCTTGTGACCCTATGTACAAAAGCCCTGAATCCTACTCTATCCTGTGCCACACTACTTCTGACACGCAACCCTTATTGTCTCTGACCCCATTACCCTAGTCACTGACTCAATCTATCTCATCAAGGATCTTCCTTACTTGCACTGTCCCTCTACCCTCCTAAGCATTATGTCCCTCTCCAAAGACTAGTTCCTCCTTGCAACATGCTCAAAGCATTCCAGATGAAGCTTTAGAATCCTTGCCTCCAAGGAGCAGCCTGGTTTCACCCTCTCTAGGACAAACTATTTCTTCCCCTAGCAGTCCATGGTATATTGTGGAATAGACCACCAACTACTCATGCAAGTTCAAGCTGAAGCTAAAGAAAATCAAATCAAATCCACAGGAATGAAAATTTCA